AACTCACGTCCAATGCCACTCTTAAGACGCTCGACACAATTAAGGTAGGAGACTCCCTATCTCACCCACACTTGACTCCAAACTACTTGCACCCGACGTGATTAAAATAAAGGGTCTCCCACCCTCTCACGCCTAGCATGACAAAACCCATGCTTGGCCCCGATCAAGTATAGAGTCTCTAACTGACTTATGTTTGGCATCATACACATTAGCGCCCAACGTGAATCCAAGCAAAGATGAGTCTTTCTCTTCATGTCTAGCGTCATTCAACCCATACTCGATGTTATTCTGATCTTAGATAATTCTCTCTCTTCATGTCCAATACCAACAATCATGCACCTATCATGAGTAAAATAGAGACCCTCCTTTGGAGTCACGCTTAGTGCCTTAAAGGTGCGTCTGACATGATATCAATTTCTATACTTATGTAGAACTTGATTTCATGAAGTCACCTAAAATCCAATTATCCCAACAACATGCATTGAACTAAACAACATTTATACAACATGTACAACATGAATTCACAATCAAAACAACATAACAACCATAAGCATCCTCAAGAACCCAAAAATGTATGTATCAGACCCATTACTCATCTTCATCTAATCAATCATATATAACAGTCAACACTAATGTAATTACAATTGATTTTCAACATGCAATCCAACAGACACACAAACTTCCCTTACCTTTTGAAGAACTGGAACCTAAGGGAGGAAGAAAGGAAGAATGAAATTCCACGACTCTGAACTTCAACTCTACAAGCTTTGAATCCACAACCCAACAGCTCGGATTAGCTATAAGTAGTATAAAATGAGGGGTTTTCAAAAGAATAAGAGAAGGAGGAGATTTTAGGTTCTTAAAGAACTTCTCACTAACTTCTCTCTAAAATTTTGAAAACTTGATTTATGAGGCTCAAAACTTAAGAAGATCCTTTTATACCTTCCTAAGTTGACTCCACTTATCTTTGGTTCAATTATCTAGAGACCAGTTGATTCTCAAGGTCCCCTTAACCTATAGCTCTTAATAACGACTAACACCTAAGCAAATTTTTTTAATATAATTAGTACAACAAATCATAAAATTAACAGTGTTACAATTCTCCCTAACAACAATAATTTTTGTCACAAAAAATCAACTTACTTAGGAAGATAATCTGATATTGATCTCTCATCTTGTATTCTAGCCCCCATGTAGCCTCACCGGTAGCCACATCCCATACAATTTTGATAAGATGGATGGTCTTGTCCTTCAACTGCTTCTCCTTATGATCCACAACTGTCACTGGTTGCTTTTCATAAGTCAATTTCTCCTTTACCTAAATTATTTACTGCTCCATTATATGATTTAGGTCATGAATATACCTCCTTAACTATGATACATTAAACACATCGTGTAGGTTAGATAGAAATGATGGTAAAGCCAATCAATATGCCACCTGACCTACGCGACGAAGTATATGATAAAGTTCAATGAATCTTAGCGTCAACTTCTTGGACTTTATCGTCCTTCTGAATTTCAACAATGGATGTCACCCTCAAAAAGACATGATCCTCCTCCTCAAACTCCAAGGGGTTTCGCCTCCTATCTATATATGATTTTTTCCTACTATAGGCAATCCTCATTCACTCCTAAATCTGCTTCACTTGCTCAGTGGTCTATAGAACTAACTTTGGTCTAACAACAATTAACTCACCTTCCTTGTACCAACATAGATGAGTCTTGCATCTTCTACCATACAACGCCTCAAAGGGTGTCATGCTTGTACTTGCATGAAAACTGCAATTAATTATACATGAACTCTAACAGAGGCAACACCTGCTAGTTACCAAAATGATCCAAAACACAAGCTCTCAACAAGTCTTCAAGTGACTAAATCATCCTCTCATATTTTGGAACAAATAACCATGCTAATAAATTAGTGTGTATGCCTTATACTATTTATTTATCCTATTTCGTACTCATTTTTCTTCTAACCAATTAAAGTGCATACTCTTTAAAGAGTTTATAATTATTGCACTTTACCAAATTAAGAGAACACACTTTAATTAGGGATATTTTAGTCTAAAAATAATTTATATGAGATAATATGAATTGGTCTTATATAAATGAACAAGTAATTATTCTGAGTTGGATCTTACAAATAAGAAAAAAGGTACTAAAAATTATTATAAGACGTGGGTTTGACACCTCTTAAGACCATTAAATCTTACCTAGTAGATGTATCTCTTCAAAGAGATCTCTTAGTAAATCTGTCAGTCATCAATTTGATAAATAAAGTTCTATGTCAACACAAACACTTAATATGACCTTGATTATCCAAAAAAAAAGTGAACAGTAGTATTTCATATAAAGATTCTTAGCATGTTATTGATTCTGTATCCAGTAATCATAAGGTGTCATTCTCTTTTTATCATTCTACTCATTAAAAAAAACACATTTGTTTTAAGCTCATTAAATAAATTAAAATTCAGTTAAAGTAACTTGCCTAATAAATTAAAATTTCATATGCGATGAGGGTTAATAACATTAATTTTTAGCCGTGTGAAAAAAAAGATTATCATTATTGCTTAATAATACAATAAATATATATATATATATATATATATATATATATATATATAT